TGGAATTTTCTCCAGTACGTAATTTCCCAGTAAAATTTTCTAATTGCATTTTTTATCTCTACTGTATAACGAGGCATGGGATTTAGTGATTGTAAAAATAACATGAGGAGTGGTTAAACATGTCATTTGGCCTACAAGGCATCCAGCCTACTTTACCATGCTCTGTAGTCTTTGAACTGGGATCTAGCTTCCTCTAATACATTAAAAAATGCCTTCTTACAATTATCCTTGCCATGACATTTTAAGGCTTCCTCTTTTTCTCCTGCCATCAGGAACACATTAAAGCAAAATGTGTTAATTTCTTAACACAAAGCCTGTCCTTTGCCACCATCTTTTGCTAATTTCTTCTTCTATTATAAAAAACTTAACTCTTTCCTAAATCGATTCATTTTTTATTTTAACAGGTCAAAGATTTTAGAGGTTTTTTTGAGACAATTATTTTGGAAAAATTTAAATTTTCGGAAGCTTGATTTCGAAATTGGTTTATATTGCAGAGTATTTAAATTCAAAGACGAAATCCTTGGGCAAAAGTTTATCACTCTTTTTAACACCAGTTGCTCATTTAAAAATAAAACCATGTTTGCTGCTTAATATGATTACATCGGAATATGAAAGTTTTGATTCCAATTAATGGCTGATTTCACCAACTAGTGATTATACCAGCAAGCAGTCTATAAGGATAAAAATTAATGCTGGTAAGGAACTCTTTCACTAACGAATACTCTGTGTATATGGATATATATCTTATTTCATTGGGAGATCTAATATAACCAAAAAAAGGTAAATATCCCACATTTTTTGATACTTGGCAGATTGATTTTATACATAAATTGGATTTGAGGAAAAAAAATAATGTTAATAATGCAGTAACGGATGTAATTGAATATAGTCCAATTACAAATTAAACAAAATTAGGAAATCCAGCAACAACAAAAAATTGTATTTTTATTTTGTTTAGTAATTATAGTATTTGAAACACAATAGTCAAATAATGGCTAAAGCTCCCCTTATTCTAAAACATTTTGATGTAGTATAATAAAAAAAATTATGAATCATTTTAAGCAAAAATTTAATTATTATAATTATCTATTGATAAAGAAACAAGAAATTAGAGAGTTAAGCATTTCTCCTCCAAAATAACATGTTACTTAGAAAGTATACAAAATGGAACACACCAATTGCAATGATTATTCACTAAGTAATACTTACTAAGAATTTTAGTAGCATTTAAATATACAATTCATTGACTAGATACAAAAATACTGACAGCAATTCAGTAACTAGAATTTACTAAAATACAGAAATATTCAAAAGAATCTGTTTATTTATCTATTTATTTATTTTTTACGATGTAGAATTTTCAAAATTTTAAATTTTGATAAAAAATATATTAAATAGACAAATAAAGTCAGATAAATACCATTTTAAGGCTAAACAAGTTTTCGTGTCTATACATATTGCCATATTGCTTAAAATAAAATTGAATTTTGATCAATGAATTCCAAACCAAATGTAAATATCATACAGTGAGGGAAAATACGAGACTAATGGTTGCCAACAGCCACAAGGTAACTAAGTATAAATATTACTAAATATAACAATTAAAATACTGTCAGACAATCTATACTTTTTTCATTGACAATCCACCCTTTTCCGTATTTTATTATTTTTTTAATAAGTATGGAATTATTATAAATATTTCACTATATTCTGAAAATTACTTTATTTCTCACTTGTTTCTTAAAATTAATTTAAATTTATTTCTAAATCTTCGATTTAGAAATAAACCTTGCAATATCTACCATATTTTGCAACATACTTTAAAAGAAATGCTGTACAATGTTAATATCAATAGCTTTTTAAATTGTTTAGAATTTTGAATTTTTTAAAAAGTGGCTTCATGTTCTGAAAAGTGCCATTTGTTAAAAATACTACAACTGGCTGCTGGCCAGTAACAAAATTTCCAGATTTTGTCCTAAATAGTAAGGGGGGGGGGAAACTAAGCACTCATTTTTATTTCATTCAAATGAAAATGTATTCCCAAGCGTTAGCAAGCAGTTGAAGTAGGGACTATAATTTTACACTGATTAGGTTTGTGTATACCTATATATATTTTTTTTTACTATCTAAAAACGATCACTTCAGAATGTAATTCTAAATTAAATGTAATATAATTCATGCCGTTGGTATTACCTTGCAAGTTTGTTACAGGCTTTGAGAAATCTACACATTGCAACATTAAAAATAAGAAACAAAAAATTGCAGTGACTGCCATGATATTTATGCATTCGCCTTGCAGGAATAGCAAAGCCAGAAATCTGCTATGAGGTAACACCAAAAAACAATTTATCTTTGTATAATATATGATAAATGCATTGTTTAAAATATATGATTAATATTCAATTATATAGATTTAAAGTGCAATATCTTTGTTGTGAGCAGTTTCTATAAATAACAATTTTATGAGCTGATTTTTTTTAAGAAATATATATTAGGAGTAATATTATAGTGACAAACAAATAGTAAAATAGTACTAACTTTTTTTATTTATGTTGATGCCAAAATAAATGGTACAAAAACAAAAATCACAGGAGCAAAACTCATATAGCATAATTGATTATAATGTGCAATAAAAGTAACTTTTAAATGTTACAATGTGTGCAAATGAACTTTATAAATATCCACCCACAAAAAAAAATGTCAAATCAGATTTAGGCTGACAAAGAATTGCATATACAAAAGTAAACCATACACTAATAATAGAAATGAAAACTATTTATAAACTATCCTATTTTCAGAATAGAACATTTTAAAATGTAACCAAAAATAAGAATCAAAACTTGTCAAGATTCATTCCTATTAAAATATTACACATTTTTTTCTTAAAAGTAATGTTTTGGAAGTTAAAACAATATTCAAAGCCTAATTCTAGATACAAACTGGCATTTCTTTGATATAAATAAAGAAACTTTGCTCATAAACAATTATTCTGGAAAAAAGAATATTAAAAGTAATGTTAATATGAATAATTCAGAATTTAAATAAAAACAATATACAACGTACCATTTAGTTAAAATTAGCTACAGATATTCATGAGCATTAAAGGCAATTCCATCATTCATGTCATATTTGCAGTCTTTAAATGCATAAAACTCAGTTTAAAAAAACCAAGCAGTTCTAATAATTTTTATTAAAGTAAATTTAGTTGCTATTTACATTTCCTTTAATTTTTATTAACTTTTATAAATTTAAAAATTTTATAAAAATTAAAGACTGGGTGTTTTGGACCACACATATTGTGTTACACCTGTGACAGCCAGTCTTTAACTTTTAAAGAATACTTTTTAAAGAATAATAAAAATGAAAGTAAATGTAAATAACATCAAGAGTTATATTAACAAAAACCATTAGAACTGTTTTTTTTCTTTTTTTTTAACTGAATTACATGCATTTAAAATCTACAAACATTCATAAATGGTGAACTTGCAAATAAGCAAAGTAAATAACAAAACACATACTTATAATAAAAACATTGTAAAAGTCAGGAAAAAAAAATTTTTAATCATTTTTGTCTTGAGAAATTTCTTATAATGAGGTGCTTAATACTGAACAACTAGTCAACTTTTAATTTTGAGACATAGAAATACAGCTGTTGATCCAGCCTACAGCCGAAACATAAATATTTACCTCAACTTTGCTCAAATACTGGGTTTTGTTATTAAATATATAAATTTTATAAGTAATTTTTCAATCCAATGTTAACTAATTTTGTTACTGGGTGGCACTGCTTAATTATGTAATATACAACTTTCAATAAGTTTTAGTTTTTATCACTCTATTATCTTTCAGTTTGTTAAGAGCTCTCTAACTTACTGTGAAGACGGAATTAGGTGTGGTTGGAAGTAGTATTGGTATAATTGACTAATTGTGATGAAAAAATGACAGTTGAAGATGAAAACAGGATCAATATTACAATAAAATTTTTAATTTGGTAGTATTTGTAGAGCTCGATATACAAAATGGTGATTTATCGAAAAACAACAGAGCCAAAAATACAGCCAACCTCCCCATAATCAATATTAGGCTTGAAAATACCTTGGCGATCGCGAATCACCAACAAGACTGTGAAAATTAGTATAACCATGTAACTGAAACATATTTGTGGTAAGAAATTTAAGAATTAAGATGAATAGATTTTTGTTTTCTTATAGGCGCCAGTGAATTAATGAGTCCACATTAGCATTGAAATAAAAACTTATCCGTTACACTGATCGATAAGAAAAGATTAAAATATTTTATGCTCACTTTAAATAAAAACTAACTAATTGATTTAATTTAATTATGATTTGATTAATAATGATTAAAAAAATAAGTAATTAAAGAAATTTTAAAAGCTAGGCAATATGTATTGCCTATTGTGGCATCACACTTACTAATTATGTTTCTTTTACCATAAATTAAATATTTTAAAAGGCAATCTTTATATTTTCTTTTATTAAGTCAACATCTTTTATTAAGACAACACATGTTCCTCTTTAAGCAGGGCTTGTTTGAACCTCTTTCCTGGGTTTTAAATGAGAACAAAAGTTGAGGAAAAAATTTACAGAAAAAACTAAACAATTAAGAGTTTCAGTCCAATTCTAGTCATGCATTGTGGCTTAACTATGACAGTTTGATAGTTAATTTAGGTGAATATGAGTCATTTACTAAATTTCAGAAATATGTAAATTTTATTAAATTTGGGAAGCATATGTAATTTACTGACTTTGAAATATATGTGTCATTTGCTAATTTTGAAAAACATGAATAATTTGCAGCTAATATGAGAATTCAGAATATGGGTTTTCAGGAGTTAAATAGTTAAAATAAGTGATTCTATATTTAAATAAAATAAAACATAACAATTTAGTAACATAATCATAAAATACAAATAAATTAAATAAAATCACTTTTTTTCTTGAGAAGTTTCATAAGTCAATGAGAAGGTCATTAACGATGGCTTAGATATCATAGTTTGATGCATACTTATGATAATTTGTATCATGAATAAACATATGTGTAGAAAGCCTTTGTGCTGTACGGAATCCTTTGCTGCACACTTTACATTCAAAAGGTAGTTCTCCCGTGTGAGTTAATAAATGAATTTTCATGTACTGTTTCGAAGAGAGACCTTTTCCACAAACCTCACAGGAGAATAGGCGCTCCCCAGTGTGACACCGCAGATGGCGTACGACATTTGCTCTCTTGTGAGACTCGTACTCGCAGTGAGGACATCTGTGCCACTTGAAACCATCTTTTATTACAGCAGAAATCTCAATACCTACACAACATACAACAAAAAAAAATTATAAAAGAAATCATCAAAACAGCAATGAACTACATATTACAAGATTTTTTGAAGCAAATGGAAACTTTTTTTTCCATTGCAAAACTGGAATAATCCACATTTCGAAGATTATATTGCATATCTTCAAGTAAAGATGGCAAACATAGCAATATGCACCTTTCCCAAAAATTTCAAACAATTTCAACAAAGGTTCAAAAGAATTTCAAAAGGAAAATCAATTGAAGAAAAGAAAGGATATAGACGTTTACCAATTACTGCGTCTTGCACAAGTAACTGTAACTAAGTTAATTTATTCCTACAAAGTTATAAAATTAGTCTCGAATTTTGTCAAACTAAGAAACATACTAAAAAACTAAGTAACAATATTTTTAAAATAACCAATTTTTGCAGCAACAATGTAGCACATTCAAAATTCAAAGACACCCATACAAATATTTAAACTCAAATAATATTACAAACAGTAGAAAATGTTACATAATAGTTTTTGCGGTCAGCAACGCCATCTGTTGGCAAACTAATTTATTAATATTGAAATAAAATGAAAATAAAACTAGTTTCTTAAACAGATTGATGTAAACTATACTCCTTTTTTCTTCAATTGATTTTATAAAGTAGTCATTTTCGGAACAACATTGATTTTTAATTAATATATGTGAAACGTAAACAAAAGATCTTTAAAGAAAAGAGAACATTTTTTAACCAATTGAAATAATTTTTGTAGAAAAAAAGTACCAGAGTTGTTTATAGATGATGATTGAACAAATATTATAAGACAGTTTTAGTAAATTGTTAGAGCAATAATATTTGCACTTTAAAGATCTAAATAGTTATAGCAATAATCTAGAATACCATATAACAACCCTTGTACACAACTTTACATAAATTTATGGAGAGAGGATAAAAACAAATTCTGCAATGATTAATAATTTCCTGATGTTGTTAGCATAATTCAGCAGCAGAACATGTAAAACAAGAGCTGTAAGTCAAAGATTTTTTTGAAAGTTTAAAAATTGCATTACCAAAATGTAAACTTTACTCGAATATCATGTTGATACATAGTTTCTCTGGTATTTTTATGTTTTATGAAATACTTTCTTTGAGTATCTTTTTTTTTGTCACTGAATATGTTGCATAAATATAAAATGTAAAATAATTACAACTTCCCAACAGCATCAAATGCCAATTTAATAAGCTAAAACTATTTTCTAAATAATATAAAAGATAGTTTTTTTATTACTCATATTTCTATAAAGAGTAACATGACTTTCAGTTACAATCAAGACAACTTTTTATTAATTTAAAGTAAACACCTTAATAAGTACCCAGAAACAAGTTTTATTCAAAAAAAAAACTTAAAAAGAAATAAACCTTGATCAAAACACATAAAAAATAAATATATAAACTATTAATTTCACGTAAACTATTTACTTTCTTCAAAAGTTGCACAAACTTTTTCATGAATTTTTAAAATTAGAATGCTATTATAAATATTAAAAAAATACAAAGTTACGATCCTGCATTTCAAGGTATGACAACCAAAAATAATTCAATTAAAAGGTTTATTCTTTTTTTTAATGTAAATTTTAAAAATTTACAGTTCTATTAAATACATATTTGAAAATAAAGAAATGATGTTTGAGTAACTTCAGCAATAGATGTAATGCATACCTTCTGAAATTAAAGTAAATTACACAAAAATATTTTGATACACATTTCAACTACTTGCTCTCAACTTAAATATTTATTCAAAGACTCATTGGTATATAAGTAAATTCTATTTTTTTTACATAAAGATAAACATTTGTCATGATTATTTCAAATAATTAGTGTGGACTTGGCAAGATTTTATATACACTAATGAAAAAGCATTCATCATAAAGTGGAATAAATAAAAGAAAATAATTTCAAAAGAGAAAGTACAAGAAATAAGCAGGATGATATCAGGCACGTAGCAGAGTGACAATATTTGAGGGGGTCCACACATTTTTTTTAGAAAATTGCTGACCTTTTACTGTCTTTTATTTCATTCTTAACTGCCTCTTAAATATATATATATATATATATGCATAATTTTCGAATTTGAAAAAAACATTTGGGGGGGGGGGTTCAAACCCACCCAGCTACGCTCCTGAATGGTATGCACAATATGTTTATTAGAAGAAAAGGGGACAATGATCAGGTAAATATAATGATGGTATAAGGCATGTTACAAAAAAAATTTAAGGCAGAACTTCATTGATAAAGAAGGCAATATATTATTTCAAGATATTTCTTTTAGCACATTTTTATTGTTTCACAAATGAAAATAGAATAACGGCAAGGTAAATTACAAAACTCTGAAAATTATCCCAAAATGCTAGAAGCATTAAAAAAATACTTTAGAATGTGTTAGGGATGCAATAAAAATAATTGCTAGCAATATCCACAGCAAACAATTATATTTATCGCAGACTTGATATTTTTGCTCGGCTTGATATTTTGCTTTTTACGATATTATATTAGAATAAAGTGCGAATTTAAAGCAAAGTTATTAAAGAAATAACAATTCTTATTACGATACACAAGGCATTAAACCAAAAATTAAAAAATAACGAGACTTAAATTTAATTATGCAATAACATATTTCAGCTTGTTTTAAAACTGATTATGAAAATGCAAATCATTGAAGAAATTTTATTTTTCCTATTGAACAATACCTCAAGTTAAGAACAAGAAAATATGATTAAAATTGTCTGAAATAAGGGAATAAAAACCATTAATATAGATGATTCTAATCAACAGATACGACATAAATATGATTCTGATAGATCAGAAATCTAATTATAGATTAGTATTAAAGTTTCAAGTAGTAATATACAGAAGTCTCGGCATAATGTGGTCACGGTTGATATCAATCTCTTATTGTTATCAAAATCACTCAGTCTGAATTTTTTCTAATCATTTGCATGTTGAAATTATTGCTTCCTGTGTTTCATTACTTAATGTTATCAGTGTTATTTATTCGAAAATGATGTAAGCATCCAAAGAAATATTCACTGTGCATTCTGAAGGAACTTGTTGTTTTCTTTCTCTGCAGTATTGTTTGGATTTACGGGAGTTCCTTCTCTCTTCTTAGTGAACTTATATGAACCAAGTCTATAGGAGTCTTATATGAACCAAGAGCGAGTCTGTTGACATTTTATGCCATGTGCCATGCTCACTTACATAAAGTTTGATAATATGGTTAGCAAAAAAATGCTCTAAGACTGTGGTTTGAACATTATAATGTGGTGTAATTATCCTTAAAAAAAACTATGTGAAATTACATTTTATAAATGAATTAATAAGAATAAACTGTAGACAATCAACAACTAAAAAATTTTTAAATATTAATTATTTTTTTAGTTTGAAGGTAATTTATGATACATAAATACAAGGTAATTTTTTTGTTCATTTCATTATTAAACTCAGTATGTGTCGCTTATATTGGTAAATTTATCTAACCTCAGGATTTGTTTATAGTTATTAATCGGTTAACATTATCAAAACTATTGTCTTCCAAAGTCAACACTTTAAGTGAAGACTACCGTAGAAGTTTAGAAAAATATTGGTATTATAATAAAAGAGAAACTTTAAATTTAAGTTTTGCAACACATAGTAAAATACATAAAGCAATTGTGACTTCTGATAAACTTACTACTGTACTTAGACTTTAATGAATTATAAAGTAATTTGCTATTCAAAGATTTAAAATAAGTTATTCAATATTATATATTTCTTTTAAAATAAATAAATAGAAAATTGTGTAGTAAGTATGACCAATTATGTAAAATTTATAACAGATTTTATCATTTATGATTATATTTTATCATAGCACAAACGAAAAACTTTTGTTTTATTTACTTAAAAATATAAAACAAAACATGCAGAATATGAAATGCAAAATAAGAAATTATAACCGGATAAGTCATTTCTAAATGTGCAGCCAATATTTTTGAAAGTTTGCTTAAAAAATAATTTAACTGGTTATGCTTTGTTTCAGTCAAATTATTTCTACGTAAAAAGTAATAAATGTTTAAAAAATTACCTTAATAAATTCTAACAATTTAATGAAGCAATCCCTTAAGAAAATCTACGCATGTATTATAATAGGAAAACACAACAGGGTGTCCACCAGTGGCGTAGCGAGGGGTGGGCAAGAGAGGGCATCATGCCCCGGGCGCTACTCACAAAGGGGCGCCAAATGGTCNTATTTATTTATTTGCGAATATATTTTACATATAATATTATATGGTTTTCGAATGGGGGGGGGCGCTAAAAGGGTATTGTGCCCCGGGCGCGAGTTAAGCTCGCTACGCCACTGGTGTCCACAAACACTTAGGGGGGAAAAATTAACTGATTTTGTTTATGATTTTCTAGATTGCTTTTATTTAATTTCCCTGATTTTTGCTATTAGTTTTTTAGCCATACCTAATTGTTATATATAAAATATATTACAAAACTCTTACACTTGCTACTACAGAAGGAAAAAAAAACAATTTCTTTAAAAAAAAAACTATTAAAAGACGATTTTTTTATTAAAAAAATGAATTTTTTTATGGAAAAAATGATATAAACTTAAATTAATTCATTTTCTCTGACGTATAGGGTATTTTAATTAAATTCCATGACATTTCCAGATTGATAAAAATTCTCTGTTTTCCCTAATTTCCCTGTTTTGTGGCCACTCTCTGTCATTAAATAATTATTCTGATAAAAATAAATTTCCCAAAAAAATACAAGATAAAAAAAAAATTTTAATTACACAACTATGAAGAAGAATCATATTTGTTCCAATTGCATTCATTATTATATTAAAAAATAATATATTTCATTTAAAAAAAATTATAAATGTCAATAATAATTTCTTAGGGATTTTTATGCAAAAAAAAGGACAAAAAGGATAATTTAATGCATAAACATATGTGACAAAAGTTTTTGCTCAGTAAGAAACCGCTTTCCACACACTTTACATTCAAATGGCAACTCTCCGCTATGGGCTGAATAATGTACTTTCAAATACTGTTTTGAAGCGAGACCTTTTCCACACACTTCACAGCGAAAAGGTCGTTCCCCGGTGTGCTTTCTCTGATGACGTATCAGATTTGACTTCTGAAGAGACTTATAGGAACAAAGAGAACATTTGTGCCATTTGATGCCCTCACTCATTAAAGTGGACAATGCAATATCTAAAAGAAAAATAAAGAGTTTACAAAAAAAAACTTGCTACAAATAAAGTGATTATAAATGAGTTATCAGTTCACAATAATTTACACAATAGAAATGGTCAATGTTAAAAGTGGGTTTGTTAACAAATCTGCACTTTCGAGAAAAACCAAAAAAACTGTGTAAAAACTTCTTGATGTCAAATACGAAACTATTTTCTAGACTGTCTAAAGAAGAGAATCCAATAATTTGAAAGCAATTAAGGCAATCTTTCCAGGACAGACACAGTTTTTTTAGGTTTTTCTCGAAAGCGCTGCTTTGTGACAAATCCATTTTTAACATTGACCGCTTCAATTGCTTATAATTTAATAAGAAATTGAATGAAAAATATATTGAGAATACAAATCATGGGGATCAGTTTTAATTTTTTTGTTAATAAGGTCCAATATTAAAATGTTCAATGCAAGAAGAAAATGCATGCAAAACCATTCATGCCTATATATATCACAAAAACATGCATAAAAATTGGGTGTCTTTGTGATATGGATATTTCCAAATACTTCGATGTGTTACTTTATTTGGATACAATTCATAGACTTTATGAATGTTTTACTGAAAAATAGATTTAAATTATTGCTTGGGGATCTCTAACAGATCCATCTTACAAAGACACCCAAGTATCTATGTAGAGAAGATTATAAAATTCTCCTCTGCTATGCTATGCTCTAGAATGAAAACTATCTCTGATACGCTATTTGTTATCATTATAAAGGAGAATGAGAATTGAAGAAAAATAAAGGCTTAGTATTGTTTTTGGTCATCTGCAAAGAGATCCAGATATATGCAGCTTCCTTAGTGTCGATCTTCATTCACTGAAATATGAATAAAACATTAAAAATAAAATAAAATAAATAAAAAACATTTTTTTTAATTACTAACATTTTTTTTTTGGTGATTAACCTTCACTATTATAAATGAGCAAATATAAATATTTCGCTTACATTCACTATTTTCTTACTTACAAATATGAGGAAAATTGGTTTGCTGTTTAAGAAAGCATCATATCAAAATTTGATTCTTGACGTGCAAACCTATCAGAGTTAAGCCTGAATAAATTAAACAAAGTTTGCCAATTTACCTAATAATTGGAAGGATAAAACAATTCGATTGATTCACCTATTTTATCTTAAGCAAAAAGACATTAAGGAAAAAATGGGTATTACAAAATTCTTTTCGAGTCAAATTCAAAATTTTGCAAGATGTATGACATTGTTTTAAACATTAATATAGGGCGAGCAAAAAACACGGACAAGCATGTTTTAAAGGAACTTTCTTAAAAATAAATTAATTAACAAAATATAACGAACAATAATCAGCACAGTTTTTACTAATAAATAAATATTAATATTAATAAATAAATATTAATATGCAAAGATGCTTTTTAATAATTTAACTGTGAAAAAATTTGAAGCAAATATACTACAAAAAATATCCTAAATTTTGTAATGTCGCATTTTTCTTTCTAATTGTATTCTTATAGGGTTGTATCTGGCTCTAGTGTTGTTAATAATTCTATTTTTACAAAGCAGAGAATGTAGAGCTTCGAGGCAATTTAAGATTGAAACAAATTTCAAACCAAACATTGCCAACCTAGCAAAAAGCCATCAAGCACACCCTTCTAATTGATTTATGTTAAAATTTAATTTTGACCTAATAAAATAAATCATTTAAGAAACAGATAAGTTTTTTCTCTTTTGGCAATTTTTTTTTAAGGAGATGTCAATAAGATACTTATAAAAATTTTGGGCGTGGATGATTAAAATAGTTTGTCAGCCCTTGGTATACAGTTTTGATGAAAGGAATTTAAAAAATGTTTTAAAAAACTTTTGATTACTAAAAATAGATTCATGAAAAATAGAGATGAAATAATTAATCAAGTATAAGAATTCGCTGTTAAAACAATAATATGACTATAAGGCTTGAACTAACTATATAACTGGACTATTTAAACAATATTAGGAAAAAAATTTATATTCTTTAATAGATATTTAAAATCTTTCTATAAATGCCACAGTAAAATACTGTGCATGCTGTTTAAATCTTACCTATAATTAGAATGAGAAATATCAACAATAAAGATGAGAAGAAAAAAAGCAGAACAAGAAAAAACATCAAGAATTAGCTACCATTTTGAATATTATAAGTTAGATACCTAGACTAAGCTGTCATGGGTGAAACAGAAATCAAGCCTCCCCAAAAAGTGAAGTTGGCACAAAGAAAGCATGTTAATATTTCTTGAAATTTGTATTTTTAAAAAAAACTATTCATTGTTGAAGTATTATTAAGCTCTTTGCAAGTCAGTTTTTCAAAGTGTATAAACCTATCTAAAATGCAAATGAAATATTTTAAAACACTGTCTTTCAACTGTATTTTAATTAGAGACACGTTATCACACAGAAAAAGTTTCATTTGTTAAGAAATAGAAATTAAGCCAAATTCAAATGCCATTATCAATGTAATTTAACAAAAACAAAACTTTAAAAAATTGATATTTAAGACAAAACTTAAATATTTTACAGAATATTTTAAAGAAACTCAATAAATTAAACTAAAATGATGCAAAACACCAATAATGTAATACATATAAGCTGATATAATAGATTAGGTTTCCAGACATTCAAGATTTTTGCCTGGTGCTCTTGCTGTCAACTATTTAAGTGTATTTTTTTCACATTGAGAGGTATTAAGGTAAAAGTCAGATTGCACTTTAGTAAGTAAACATTGAGCAATTTTTTAAAGCATTTTCACAAAAAGTTTAGTTGAAATCGTATTTTTTCTATAAAGTATTTGAACAAGTAAATTGATCTTTAAATGCAACACAAAATTAGCATAAATACTAATAATTTATGTCATAAAAAGTTATTATAATTAAATAATGACACATTTATTAATACTGACATGTATTGTAAGGTGTACGTCATACACCTTAGTTACAAAGTCAGAAGTTAAAATGGTTGTTGTCACTGCTTAAAATGTTGTTTGACGCCATCATAAATATATATTTCAATATAATATATTTATTTTAAATCATTTAAGCGTCATCTATACCTTCATCAAGATGTTTTTCTTAGACACTGCAGAATTTGTTAACACAAAATACAATAAAGGATACAATTAAGTACAATACAATTAAGTGACAAGATCTGACACAAAGTACTTCCTCTGGCGAAAACATTAACATACATACATTTTCAACAGATTTAGATTCTTGACTCTCAAAGACTTCAATTCTATTTCTTAAAAAAAAATATTTTTATTCCCAGAAAATACCTTGTGTCAGCAAGATTTCATTAGCCCTAAATAATTACCCTATTTCAGGTAAAAAAAATTTAAAAACTTCCAACCGTTACAATTCTATGATAGTTAATGAAACTCTGATCTGCAACCCAGGTGTACTGTTTTATTTTTTTATTTTGCACACATTACAAAAACAGAAACTCTTGTAAACTAATAATCCAGTTCACAAATAATACATTCAAAAAGAGACATAACAAAATGAACAATAATTTGCCTCTACAAATTATAATGGGTAGCCATATGAGCATTGAGACTGCTTTTGAGACGGAAGCCTTTCTTACACAGTTTACATCTATATGGCAACTCTCCTGTGTGTATAAAGATATGTGCTTGCAAATATTGTTTCTCTGTAAAGCCTTTACCACACACATTACACTGATAAGGGCGCTCGCCCGTATGACACAATAAGTGGCGTGTCAGATTTGCTTTTTTGTTAGAATAGTAGGAGCAGTAAAGACATCTATGCAACTTGAGTTGTCCTGCTTTTATGGAAGACAATGCAACACCTACAAAAATATACACAAAATCATATTGAAATAAATCACATTATAATATCAACTGTTAACAAGAATTCAATTCACTTAACAGTACAACAGTTAAAAGCAACTCCATTGAAAAGTGTAAATTACTTTGAATGTAATAAATTACTATACAGCACTGGCAATATGAAAGCATGCTGACATTGTATAGAATGCCTAGCATTTTTAGGCTCTAAGTATGAAATAGGAGAACCATAATAGACTTTTCCTAGATATTGTGCTACAGCAAATACTTTTACGGCAGAGCATGATATTATGAATTAATGAATGTAAATTACAGTGAAACAAACAATACACTATTTTCTCTTCACTTTCTTTTCTTAATAAAAAAAAATACAATTAATATTCATAATAAAAATAACATTTTCATTATTCAACTAACCAATTGTTTCATATAACTAAAATATTACTTTAACCAGTTTATTTGAATATTATTAACATCTGAAAAAATGGGAAAACATTAGTATATTTTATTTTATAATGTTGGGAAGACATTAGTGCATTTCATTTTATAATGTTGAACAACCAATCCAATTCTGAGTTAACAACCACCAATATTTAACTCTGCAGACTTGTAATTTTGAACCCAACCCATTAGACAAGAGAACTCCAAGATCAAACATTGGGACAAACTAGCCTTTTTGGAGGACTTTTCAATTTTATTAACCCCTGAGCCACTGCAGCTTGCAAGATATTAGTATAGGGAATATTGGGAAATAGCCATTTAACTTGAAAAAAAAACATTATTGTAAGGATTACCAGGAAAGTGTAAACAAGGCTATAGATCAGTTACTATCCTATTTAATCTGGTTATTTTTAATAATGCATGGCAATTACTTAAAATCTATGTATTTCTAACATTAAATAAATATATGAATCTAATTGTTGCAACAAGAAATTCTTTTCAATTCTAATAAACCATTACCATACAAATTAACATTAGCAAATAATTATATTTTAATTTCATTGCATACAATACCTATGCAACCTATGAAGTTTCTGCAATTTTATATAATGCTGTATTTCCAACTATGCTGGTACTATCAATAAAAATGGGTTAAATAAGAGATATTGATTGCAATTTTCATAAGAACTTTTTCCGCTTACTGCTTATAATTTATTATAAATTAAATGTCTGGTAAATGCAATAAATCTGTTTTATCTTAATCACTCTTAACAAATATTATGAATAACAACAAATCGATTGTTGCAAATAAAAGTCAGTTAAAGAAGCCATTTTAATGGTCTTATATTAAACTCTGATCTCGTGTATATCATGCAAAATAAGCAACCATTTTGAATACTATGCATAACAGAAATTAAATACACCTGTAATATAAAATATGAATTTTAAAAACAAATTACTTCAATCTATTTATTGGTAAACTAAATGAACAAATTAGTACAAAACTTTACATTCTCTGCATTGTTTCTATATTAAATAATACAGGTGAAAAAAGGCAGTTTTCTATGTCTCAGCAGTTTAGGTTGACAGTTAAGTGTTCAATGACAAGGTAATTGAGCAAAATTAGTATAAATACAATTTATGAAATATTACTTATTCCTTTCAGTAAAATAAGCAAATTTTAAATAAAGAACAGGTATTTGTAAGGAAATAGTTGTGAAATAAAGTATATAATAACAGGATAATTATTTAAACAAGAATAAGTTTCATAAAAATGATACATGCTGTAACTAAAAAGATGACACAACTTACAAGATAAAAACAGTTTTTAATATGTCAACTATACAATTGGATATTAACATTAGCTTAATTACATTCAATGACAATCACTGTAAGATAATTAGATTGCTTGAATTATTTTTGGATCATTGTTGTACTAATTAAAATATTAATTACATTATCATCTAAATTTATGGCTGTTTTGTGCATTATTAATCTCAATATTGCAAAATAATTAAGCATTCTAATGTGTTGATAAAAATAAAATGTCAACTCTCCAATGTATCTTCATATAACCATTTTTGCTTTACTTGAGAATTTTCAAATCAATAACATGGAAAGTTTCAAGTTCATTTTGTAGAAGAAAAAAAACTAATTTGAAATTAATTATAGGTTAAAATTTAATTTGAGATTTAAAAAGCATACATATTCCATGCAATTAATATTATTACGAATAACTGGATTATGAGAAAATTTTATATTAAAAAAAAGGAAAAATACAAATAAACTTTCAAGTTTTCAAATTGCAATAACTACTAATGATGCAAATGTCTAAAAAACTGGTTTTTGGAAATCAATACACAGTTCTTGAAATACAGTTTGTAAGTATAACTTATACTTAAACTTATATATAAACTTACATTTTGTTTTACGAAACATAAAATATTAATTGCACTTGAGAAACTTCGATCATAAAAATTAAGTACAAATCGCACTTGAGAAACTTAGATCATTAAGAATAAAAATTTAACCGTTAATTTTAATTTTAGCTGTACCACCTAAAGAAAGAAATCAGGAACATTCCATTTCAAACACATTTTCTATTTTAGAATTTTTAAGCTAATAAAAGCTTCAAAATTATACAAACAAAAATTACAGATCAAAAACAATTTTAAATTTAAACATAAGTCTATATGCTTTAGCTTTTCAAAATTAAATTTTGTAAAAAGAAAGCGTTACTTAAAATTAAAAAGTAATTTTTCAAACAATAAAAATAAATTTAAAAATTTAAATTATAAAAAAATATAGATTATCCAACACTTTATTATCAGACTGTAGGCAAGGTCACCAGAAAGAGCAAAAAGCTGAAGAAAGGCAAAAGCTGAAGCAAATTGCAAAATAAGAAGAAAATAAGTAACAAAAAATTTTAAATATTAAAAAAGGCGATATGGACAAACTAAGTCACAACAATAAAGATAAATGATTCAATTCACCTTTTTTTAAAAAATGGGAAGCTACTTACTTGCTTCAAAAAAAAGAATGAAAAAAGTGTGTGAGAAGGTGAGATTGGAGATAAGAAAGAGACAGTACAGATAAACTATCCCTTTAAGCACTCACACAAAATATGTATCATAATTTAAATATCAAAAATAAAGAAAATTTTTACATATCTCTGATTTTTTCAACACAAAAAAGAATGAAGATAGGGAAAAAAGCAATCATAAGCAAACTTCCCGCCACTCGAAAAAGAGAGTGAAAGAAGGGACCCATGCTCCAGCCTCCATGGCTATCGGAGTTTCAAATTCAGAGAAAAATCTAAGATTCAAATAGTAGCAAAAAATAGAATAAATTTCAAAATTAAAACTTCACTGAATTTACAGCTCCTTATAAACAAAAATACCTTCATTTAAAGCATGTGCAATGAGAATATTTTACACAACAACAAGATATTCAAGTAATCAACACAATGGAAAGAGTGATTTGATTTTTTAAAAGAAAACGAGATTTAAATCTAAGAACTTTTAATGAAAGGTACATTTTTAAAATTGAAAAAAATATTACATGAATTATTAAAAGAAAAAAAAGACAGTATCTACTTGATTCAATTTCGTGAAGTTCAACAAAAAATTAGCATTTAATCCTGTGGTAATAATCAGTCCTTTCATAACAAACCTGTTAATTTCGGATATTTTTAAATAATCGATCCATTTACAGCTGTTGTTTTGTTTTTTTAATAACTGCGGAGAGAGATTCAATACATCTTTAACACATTATAAAATTCAACATATTTCTAACAGATATTTTAAATTTCTTTAAGAAATATAATCAACAATACAAGTTATAATAATTAGTTTATTAATGACAGTTCAATTCTAGAACACAACATGATAAAAGTAAGAGAGGGCAGGCAATAGGGGACACGAATGCAAACAAATAGAAAAACATATAAAATACTGGCAATAAATATAAGTTTTAAACAGTTTACAGAAATTCTCTTAACAAACAGTTTTATAGCATCTCAAAGCCATGAGATTGCTCAAAAACATAAGAAATCATATGCTAAGAAATAAAGCCAAATAAAATAGAAAAATTAGTAATAGTCAAAATCTACTTGGAAACACCTAAATGGGATATCACACCCCACCCAACATATTCTCTAGGCATTTCTCCTTCTGACTACAACTTGTTTTAGTCAATGATCTCCCTCAACAGCATTTCTGCTTTTACAAAAAAATTCCCGGATTACCAATAAGTTTTAATAATCTATAGCTTTATAATTCTTGGACAACCTACCAAGTACAGTCATTCTTTCGATGTCGGATTTATATGCTGCCAAACATATAAGAAAAATTGACAACTATTTTCGCATAGTATTAGATAATTTGAGAATTGATATTGAAAAATCAAGAAAATCCACATTGTAGATAGCATCCATGATTTTTCACTTAGCTGTTTATGTAATCAGTTGATAATCAAGCAATCACCAACAAGATTATATTTTGGAGTGAAGTAAAATTTTAATACATATTAAAATATGCTGCTGGAACCTATAATTTCAAATACCAATTGAAAAGTTATTATTAACAGACACTTTGCAATACAGAGAGAGATCCATTACGCGTGTTTTACAGGGAAATGAGCGGCAATTGGACCAGCCTTCATTGTTCAAATAATTTGGCATAAATAAACCTCAAAAAAGTAAATAAGAATTAAGTCAAACCAATAAGAAAATATGCTAAAAAACAATAAATTTTTTTTTTCAAAAAAAGCAAGATTAAAAATAGATTTTGGTACCACCTTGAACAGTGACTTGCTGTGCATTTGTATTTAAGTAAAAAAAAATTAGTTGTAATACATGAAGAAAATAGAAATTATAAATGAACTTAGTCTTTAGAACTTAATAAAATTAAGAAGCTGAGAATGCCTCATTACAAAACGAATCCCAATTTTCACCAAAAAAAAATCCTTTCAAACGAATTTAAACACACATATTAGACTCAGAGCCTAGATACCATTGTTCACATCACAAAACAAATAAATGCATGTACTAAAACAATGAAATTGTTTGGTATGAAACAAGCAATCAATAAATAATTCACTATTAGTTTTAAACACTGTCATCCATTACAGAATATGCGTACGAAGATGGGTAATCATATGGGCAGTAAGTCTACTTTTAATTCCAAATCCTCTGTTACACACATCACATTTAAAAGGAGACTCTCCCGTATGAATCACAATATGTGCTTGCAAATTATGTTTCTCTGTGAATCCCTTGCCACACATTCCACACTGGAATCGACGCTCCCCAGTATGACCCCGTAAATGACGCCTCAGATTAGTTTTCTGATTGGATGAGTATGAACAATATGGACAAATGTGCATCTTCCTTTGACCCCTTTTCGAGTAACACATTTTCACATCACCTAAAAAAGTCATAACATAAAGAACAATATTAAAACATATATTAATTACAACACAAACATTACATTAAAATAGAAACTACACAATTCCGAATTACCTGTAAAGAACTGAATACTATGATAATAATATATATATACTTATATTACAACTACTTATGTTCATCTCCGTAGAATTGTAATTTTGAACCCAATCCAGAAGACAAGGGAGCTCCTGGATAAAGTTATTGGGACAAATTCGCCTTTGTGGAGGACCAGCATTTGCCTGACTTGGAAATGAAAACCAAGAAAACTTCCCAAAGTCAGCCTGACGGATAGGGGACTCTAACCCATGATCCGTCTACCACTGAGGATATTTTAAGTCAGCACTGTGGTAGGTGCAAGCCGGATGCAGAATTCATATCGACCAGCCATCGCTGGGATTCATACCAGGTTCACCTCATTGGAAGGCTCTATCCCCTGCAGATAGTTTTGCATTCTGTAAGCGGAGAGTTTAGTTTTTATCTTACTCTATTTACAAGCAATAATGCCAACCATAAAATCTAACATTGAAGGGACTATAAGGAATAACTTAATGCTACAAAGTAAATTAATAAGATTCAATCGCCGCGTTTAGTCTGAATTTTTCATAAAAATTGAGAAAATTCCAAACATACACCAGTTCTTGAAAGATTTCACAGCGTCACTGTTTAATGTTCATTAGAAACTCACGATAAAATATATTTATAAGGAAATAGGAAACAAATCTGAGTGTTGTCTAAACTGATTAAAATTTAAGAGAATAATCATTAACAAATTAGCAATGCAAACATTGAAGTTTTGACAATACAGATAATGTAGAAATTTTAAAAAAAGCAAATGCTAAAGTAATTTTTCGTACTGTGACTCACATGATGAAAGTCAAGCAAATTTAAAATAAAAGCCATTATTTTTACAATAAATAATGTCATTAATTGTTAACTAAATTAGAAAATTAAAAAACATTTATCTTTATCTCCTCTATAAATTAAATAAGAAATTAAAATAGCAAGTGAATAGCAGAGATATTTATAGAAAATTCAAAACAATTCAATATTCAACAAAATTCAAAAAAGAGCAATAAATTTCTAATTTTTTATTAATAAAAAATTTTTACACACAAACAGATGGACGAAAGGGTGTTCAACTACTTGGGATGAAAACGTGAATTGTGACGATTCAAGCTGCGTTTGAATTGAAACAGCTTGTGGCACACTTCACACTGAAAAGGCGATTTACTTGTATGAATCACATAATGTGCTTTCAAATGTTCATTTGTGTGAAAATGTCTGTGACACACATCACAAGAGAAAGGACGTTCATCAGTATGAAATCTCATGTGACGCATCACGTTTCCTTTATGATTAGACTTGTAAGAGCAACAAGAGCACTTGTACACATTGATCTGTTTCCTTATCTTGGAAGTTGGTCCTTTCCCTACAAAAAATATATGTATGTTACTGTGAATGACCGAAATTGGTAGTTGTTGACTTCCACCGGTGAATGTTGACAATCATTAGGCGAGTTAGTAAATGTCCGAAATATATATTAGCTCCAGTTAGGTTTCACTTCCTGGTATGTATTTGCCTGGTATACCCTACACTGATGTTTTTTTAAGGCTCAGTGCCACTGCCCGGTATACATTTGCCCAGTACTTTAAACACTGATGTTTCTCTTAAGCTATCTTCAGCAGACATTAAAATATCGAATAAATATAATAATATCAACAAATAAATTAATATCAAATCCGATCTAACAAATATTTCAGACATTCACCACAGCGACTATGTGATTGTTGACATTCACCGGTGAAAGTCGACATTCTCTTGATTTCAGTCATTCACGGTAACATATTTATATGCATATAATTGAAAATATTTAACAAAGCATAGGTCAAGTTCTTATAGAAACTAGAGCAATATAAACTCTTTGATTTGCTACATTTGTTACGTCTAAACAAAGGTAGTACTTTAAATAGTAAACAAAAAGAAATACATTCAAAATGAAGCTTAAAAATGTGCAAGCAACTCTAATGCAAAATTATAAAAAAAATTATTTTAAAAAAATTAGTTACGAAAGTGCAGTCGCTGTCTACTTCAGATCAGCTTTCATCATGAAAATATTTCTACTGTCCGGCCTAGAGGAGAACTCCTCCAGAGAAAAAATCTGGGGCTGTCTGTTTCTATGGTAACATGAGAGCACATTTCTAATAGGGTGTATTGAAGGAATGAAGGAGTTGATTGGTTGAAAAGCAAAGATTCTGAAGTGAACCTATGCCAAGATCAGGGCAAAACTATTCACCTCACAGCCCTATCCAAAGTGAATTAGCCTCATAACCATAGCACTCGCCGCCAGGTGAGATTGATGTGTGGAGTTTTCCTGAAAACCACACAATATATAATATGCTATGAAGAATTGCATATTATATCAGACAAAACGAGGAAATCCTCCTTTAAAACAACTCTATTTACTGACATCTTTTGAGAAGCCTCTCCCCTTGGGAGGTCACTTTCTACGAGATATCAAGCTTTGTTTATAAACACACAAGTAAATATTAAAGAATATGCTTGCTTGCTTACAATCTCAAAAACAAAAAAAAAGTCAAAACACACAATTGACACACACACAAAGTGTCACAATTGTTGTGCTGCTTCCCTACAGGGTAGCAAACCTGCAAACCTCAAAAAAAAAAATAAAGTGTGAAACTTTTCCAGCTTAATAAGGGTTATACGTTCAGAAAAATATTAAATATTAAAACTACATATTTTCAAAAAATTTACTTCAAAATATACATACATTATGTAAAAAGATGCATCCGCACAACACAAATTAAGATTATTACTTAGCCATGTTAACAAAATCCAAAACCTGACTAATTAGGTTTACAGCTTACAGCGGCTTCAAAAAAAAATTAAAGCTTTTTTTTTTTAGTTTTTAAAAGTTGTGAAAAAGTATAAAAATGAAGCAAAGTATGCAAAAATGAAGGCAATTCTTCATTGCAAGGATCCTGATAGGCATCAAAGCAAAAAACCAATAGCTTTCACCATATGAGTCATACACAAACATAAAGCCAAAATCAATTTTCCAAACTAATTAGTCAAGCATAAGCTTTTCAGCGATATATGTTTCGTTCAAGCCGTACAATTCTACCAGATCTCGAACCATAGCTACAAACAGAGATTCACAACCGAAAAATATTTGGTGCTGCTGCCCCGTTAAGGCTCAGGCAATTTGACTACATATTTATGCACGCTTTTGAGTTTCAGATTTTAATTTAAATCTTTTATTATTAAAAAGAACATAGTATTTTAATAATAAATATGAATTTTAGATAATAAACTGAACAGTAAGTCATAGTTATTAGACATTAGAATGGGCTATGAATGCATCCCTGGCTATGAGCACACAATATCTTACATTGGTAACTGGGGACTAATCTGTATGGAATGGAGCTACCTTAATAATCTCTTTAAGCTGTAAATATTCACCAGACTGCAGGCATTCCAGTTTATAGTTTCCAAATGATGTCATAGTACTTTATTTGAAAAAAAAAATTTGTTTTCAAATGTTTAAAAAGATTACATAAAAAAACTATAACAGTACAAATTTTAAAAAAACTTAACAGATAATTAATTTGATTCATAAACTTTAGAAACTTAGAGCTGATTCCCACACCATTGGTTAACCCAGACCACCTAAATTGTACTAATTATATGGGTTCAATGACTGTTGAGAAAATCGTTAATTGAAAAATCATTATTTTAAAATTCCAATGTCAACCACCACATTAATATGATACTATAGTTTTCCTATGTAAAGAATTCCGCTATCCATTAGTCTGGGCAATGGTTGTGAAGTATAACTATTTCAAGTAAAGGTGAAGGGTCCCTGTTTAGGTCATCCAATCTGGTGAACTTCCTATCGAATCTCTCCCCTATGAACAACAAACTTAGTAAAAAGGATTTAGATTATCTCTTAACTATTTTCTTGTCGTTTTGTTATAGATATATTTCCCTAAATGCTTTATTAGTTTCGTATTATTAATTTTGAAGCTTCAGATAAGCACTAATTGCTTTAAATATATAACAACAAAATTTTTTTTAAAAATTAAAAATCTCACATTTTAAACAATTTTTTGCACAAATCCTAACATTTTGAAAACTTTGTAGACTTTGAAGAAACATAAATAACTTACAAAAATTATTGCGAAAAATCCCAATAATATCAGTGATTCTCTATATCTTTAGTCTCATTTCCTCTCAAGCACTCTTTTTAAAAATAAAAATAATTAATTCAATTGATGTTTTAACTTTCCATTTCTTTAAAAAAATGTAACTAAAAAACTGTAATATAACTTAACTTAAAAGAGTTTTTGTCAGCATTGTGTTTTTTCTATCTTTAATGTTTGACTATAGTATTAAGTCAATATAATTTTTAAGTCAATATAATACTTAATATAATTTTTTTTCGTTTTTAATTGATAAAATGCAATAAAATGAATGTTATTACGGACATTATTTGTTCATCTGACCGTTTGTATGCTGAAAATACTGTCTTTTATTTCCCCCTTTGGAATAAAAATTTAACTGAAACAACTGAAAGAAAAATTATTATATTTCAACAAAGTTTAAAAATTTGTCTTTCATCAAAGCTATTTTATCTTTTATACTCCTTATTGCTCCTTAGCCCTTAAGTGCTTCCTGTGTTCTTGTAATCGTATTAACTTTCTACTTGTAAAAGCAATAAAAGACTCGATAGTGATTTTCAACTGAATCTTAATTGAGTTCAATCAAAGTTATTATAATAAGCAACTGTATGTCATTTTTCATATATAAGACAGGCTTTTGCAAAATCACAATTACACCACTAATAACCTGCAAATGACTTTTTAAAGTTTCAAGGATCAAATCGTTTCCTAAAAAATTAATAATTGTAATACTAAGCAATAGTTTATTTCTATTCAAAAGGAAGGGAAACAAATTAATCATTCTTGTTTGGTGTGAATATTTTAAAAATTATTGTTTTTCAGAATGGCCACAGAATTTATAATTACATATTATTTCTATATAAATTATATTAGAATTTAAAGACGCAAATGAATGGCTCTATTTGTAGAAGTTCTAATTTAAGATTGCAATCCCGTTTGAAGTATCCTGGGGGGTGGAAGCACCCATGTTGGGAACTTATGATTTAACATTTTGAGAATAAAATATTTCAAATGACACCATAAATACAGTTTCAACTATTTGGTATAGCATATTTTTTAAAATACACTCACAAAAATATGCATAATTACACAGCTAACCATTTAGAATAAATTTCTCTATCTCCTTCTTTTCTGTACTTTAAAGCAATGAAAATAAAGTCATAATAAGTAAAAAGTAAATTGAAGCATGAAATCATACTCATACATTTTAACAAGAATGAAACTAGAAATACAAAAAGAATAAATAAATACCAAAAGTTTTATTTTTCAAGAGCTTTCAACAACATTACACTAAGATGAAAATTTATTAAGATTTTGTAAATCGGGTGATCTACCAGGTCTTACGATCAGTCCACAGTGGAACTACAGCTGCACTTAGAACAAACTACTCAGTAGTACACCTTTTACCTGATACTTGGTAACTTGTGAGTCAAAAAATGTGCTTTTAAGTGGTGTTTTACGATAAAAGATTTTCCACACAGACCACATTGGAAGGGACGTTCACCGGTATGAGATCGCATATGGCGCAGAAGATTTCCTTTAAAATTCGATTTATATGTACAAAAGTTGCATCTGTACAATGTGACTACTCCTATTTGCACAGCAGATATCCCCACTCCTACAAAGCATAAAAATTATTTTTAAAATATATAAAAATAACTTAGGTAAATAAAATGTATAAATTGTAAATTAATGTACACAAAATATATGAATTGTAAATTAATGTAATTGAAATGAATATTCAGTTTACAAATAAAATTAAAAAAATACATTTCAAAATATTTTAAAGAATGTTACATAAATGTAGGTTAAGATAAAATATCTGTCAATATTTTTTAACTAGTGGTCAACTTAGATAGGTCACCCTATACAGGTTTTATTTATTTATTTATTTTTACATTACTCTTGTATATTTCGCATGTCACCAATCAAAATATAGATAAATGTAATTATTTTCTCTTTACTTTAAAATTTTATCTAGCAAATATCTATCTTGAGAAACTAAATTCATCACAGGAATGAATTGAATAATAATTTGTTACATATATTTATTTTAAAAAAATCTTGATTAGTTTAAAAAAATGAATATTCATATTTTGTTTGCGACGTTATATATTATAAACTATTTCTTAAAATATCAGTACGAAAGAACATATGGGTAATTAGAAATACTGAAAGCTATAAATATTACAAATTTTAAAATATATTAACTTACAAACACTATTTATAACAAAAAAATCCCTCAGTGTTGTTTGAAAAATAACAGATCCCAACAACAACAGAAGAAGACAGTATTATTACAATTGTCAAAAGAATAGACAAGTTTCGCTAAATGGTCAACTTACAAAAGATCTTAGGGTAATATTTAACACTATTTCATTAATTCAGTGAAATTCAAATATAGCACCAAAAAAATTTCATGAAGTTTTTTCTCTCAACAAACTTGAGAAGGGTTTAGAATAGCACTACTTGGAAATTTTAATTTCTTTCAGAGATTATCATACAAGATAGATAGGTGGTTAAGTTAAAGGTTTTGCTCCTTTTTAATATGTAGGATACAGTGGCGTAGTTTTGGGCTGAGTTTGGGAGACAAAACCCCCTTTGAAATGTAATTACTTCGAAACATAATTACTACATCCTTCGAAATATATTACTTGATTAAGAAGCTATTGTATGGTAAGTAGGATGTAGATATAAAAAAGAAAAAGTAGCCATTGCTCATTTTTTGTAATTTTAACATTTAGAATGTATACTGTATACTATATATATAGACTTATACATTTATAAATGGCAGGATATAACCCCCCACATATAAATTAACCCCTTAACAGTGACATATATTTCAGAAAAATGGACCAAAAATAAAAAAAAATTTTGACTGTTTAATTTTGTTCCTTACATTATAATAAAAGTTAGAAAATGGTTTTTTATTACAAAAATAAAATTTTAAATGCAATAACTACTGTACTTATAATTTTT